GGGTTTACCGCTACACTGGTTACCGTGACAACCCTACCTGATCGGTCTGCTTCGATCTATTTTGAAAACTCCGATCAAAACCGATAGAGGCGCTATCGGCCGATTACGATCAAATGCCGATCCATCGGTGCATCCCTACCGGTAACTATCTTATTTTGAAGGGACGTGTTCTGGTAATTTCTAGAATCTGTTAACTTGTCCTGCCACTTGTGTTTAAGATAGGTAATCAAAGACATTATGTTGGTCAGGTAATCAAAGACATTATGTTGGTCAGAAAATAACAGGAATAGTAAGTTTATCTACTCCTGTAATTAGAATTTCATTTTGAAATTCATCCAAATTTGTTTTCTTACTTAGCTTAGTCTCGTCTTCTTTCATCTATCCAGGTCACGGGGGCAGCATCCTAACTAGGGAGTTCCAGACTGTCCTCTCCCCGGCCACTTCCACCAGCTCCTTCGGCGGGACCCCGGGATCCTGGCCCAGTTCGGAGATGCACTTTCTCCAATGTGTCCTGGGTCAACCAGGGGGCCTTCTGCCAGCAGGACATGCCTGAAACACCTCCTGGGGAAGGCGACCAAGAAGCATCCTAACAAGATGCCCAAACCACCTCAACTGACTCCTCTCGATCTAGAGGAGCAGCGGCTCTACTCCAAGTCTCTCCCAAATGTCCGAGCTCCACAACTTATCCCTAAAGCCGGGCGTACACTGTGCGACTTTATCACTCGTAGCACTCAGCTTCAGCTCAAACTGTACGACTTCCTCGCAGAGCAGATCTCACGAGCCAGGCGCTCACACTGTACGACCCAGTTCTCGGATGCGACCTGACTGCTCACACTGTACGTCTGGTAGCAACACGTCGGACCTAAAAATGTGCTAAAAATAGCAGTTTTTACACAACACGTCAGACTTTTGTCTTGTTTTGCCTGTTGTCCTTCAGGAGTGCTGCAGGAGGACACAGGGATTTATGGGGGTTGGATGAGGAAAATTAAATAAAGAAAGTAAATCTGTGTTTTGTGATCAGTTTAATTTGACATGAACACGACAAACACGCTTTCTTGACAATCTTTGTGAGTAAAAAAAAACGTGTAGAAATTAAAACGAACAACGTGTGTTATTAGGGAAATAGCGGGGAGCGGCGTTGATGCAGGATTGCGAATGCGCCGTGAGCGGTTCTGATACATTTTGGGTCGCAGCTGCTCGCATCGCCGCTTCAACAGTGCGATACCCTCACGAGGGACGAGCGAAATATTAAACACGCCAGAAGTCCGTGCGACCTCACGACTGCTGATCGGCAGATGGTCACGTGGTGTTAATCGCCTCTCGTAACCCCCTGTACACTACACGACCACTTGGCGCAAAACTCGCCCCGATGTCGTGGATTCTCGCACGACTGGAAAATCGGCTCAAAAAAGTGAAAAAGTCGCACAGTGTACGCCCGGCTTAAGGCTGAACCCAGCCACCCCACGGAGAAAACTAATTTTGGCCGCTTGTATCCGCGATCATGTTCTTTCGGTCACTACTGAAAGCTCATGACCATAGGTGAGGACTGGGCGGTAGATCGACTGGTAAATAGAGAGCCTTGCTTTCTGGCTCAGCTCTTTCTTCACCACAACAGACCAGTTTAGCGTCCGCATCACTGCAGATGCTGCCACGATCCACCTGTCAATCTCCCACTCTCTCCTTCCCTCACTCGTGAATAAGACATCGAGATACTTGAACTCCTCCACTTGAGGAAGCACCTCTCTCCTGAACCGCAGTTGGCAAGCTGCCCTTTTGTGGTTGAGAACCATGGTCTCAGACTTGGAGGTGCTGATCCCCATTCCAGTTGCTTCACACTCGGCTGCAAACCTCCCCAGCAAGAGCTGTAGGTCAGAGCCTGATGAAGTTAGGAGGAGGACCACATCATTCTCCTGCCACCAAACTCCACATCCTCAACACCACGGCTGCACCTAGAAATCCTGTCCATAAATGTTATGAACAAGATCGGTGACAAAGGGCAGCCCTGGCAGAGTCCAACCCTCAATGGGAACAGGTCCGACTTACTGCCGGCTATGCGGACCAAACTCACACTCCTCTGGTACAGGGAATGAATGGCCCTTAGCAAAAGACCATCCACCCCATACTCCTGGAGTATCCCCCACAGGGTGACTCTCGGGACACGGTCCTAAGCCTTCTCCAAATCCACAAAACACATGTGGATTGGTTGGGCAAACTCCCATGAACCCTCCATCACCCTAGCATGGGTAAAGAGTTGGTCCACAGTTCCATGGCCAGGACAAAAACCACATTGCTCCTCCTCTATCTGAGGTTCAACTATTGACCGGACCCCCCTCCCCAGTACACTGGAGTAGACCTTTCCAGTGAGGCTGAGGAGTGTGAACCCCCTATAGTTGGAATACACCCTATGGTCGGATGCCCAGGTCGGATCTCATCCACCCCACGGATTACGCCGCTGCGCAGTTGTTTGACTACCTCAATGACTTCTGCCCCAGAGATTGGACAGTCCATCTCCAGGTCTTCCAGCTCTGGTAACTCCTCGGAATGAGTGTCGGAGTGACTGAGGAGCTCCGCAAAGTGTTGCTTCCATCGCCCGACAATAGCCCCAATTGGCGTCAACAGCTCCCCATCCCCACTGTAAACAGTGCGAGCAAGTTGCTGCCTTCCTCCCCTGAGGCACCAGATGGTTTGCCAGAACCGTTTTGGGGTCGATCGATAGGCTTTCTCCATGGTCTCGCGAAACTCTTCCCACACCAGAGTTTTTGCCTCGGAAAATGCCACTGCTACACACCACTTGGCCCTCCGGTACATGTCGGCTGCCTCTGGAGACCCACAGACAAGCCACGGCCTGTAGGCCTCCTTCGTCAGCTTGGCAGCTCCCCTAAGCTCTGGTGTCCACCAGCGGGCACGAGGTTACAGCCACGACTGGCACCGACCACCTTGTGACCACAGCTAGCAACAGCCGCCTCAACAGCTGCAGGCCGGAACAATGCCCAATCAAACTCAATGTCCTCCACTGCTCTCTGGACATGGTCAAAGGTCTGTGCAGCATCTTCCCCTGCCATCTGATCCAGTTCACCACCAGGTGGTAATCAGTTAACATCTCCGCTCCTCTCTTTACTCAAGTGTCCAAAACATACGGTCTCAGGTCAGATGATAAAACTAAAAAGTCAATCATTGACCTTGTAACCTAGGCTGCCCTGGTACCAGGTATACCGATGGGCATACTTATGTTTGAACATGGTGTTTGTTATGTCCAAATTGCGACTTGCGCAGAAGTCCAATAACAGAACACCACTCGAGTTCAGATTGGGTGGGCCATTCCTCCCAATCACGCCACTCCAGGTTGCGACAACATTGCCAAAGTGAGCACTGAAATCCCCCAGCAGGACTGGAGCCCCCTGTCAAAGCAACATCTAGTACTCGTCCCAGGCACTCCAAAAAGGGTGGGTACTCTGAACTACTATTTGGTGCATAAGCACAAACAACAGTCAGGACCCCGTCCCCGACCTGAAGGCGAAGGGAAGCTACCCTTTCGTCCCCCGTTCTTACTTAGCGATTTGAAAAAGGATAACATGTTGACGGAATCACTGTTTGGTCAAGAATTCCATTCATCATTCGCCCCCGCATGCATTCCATCATCCGTTTTGCTCTCAGTGAACTTTGGTCTGACATTGCTATTTGCGTTCCGGTAATAGCTGAAGCACTGATGCTAAGCCTAGTTGGGGTGGCGCTTCCGTTTGACTTGACTGGCATTTCATGTGCGCTTATTTGGTTTCAAACAGACACATTTGTTTCAGATTTCAGCATTCAGATAGAAACTTATACATTTAAATACCCTGACGTAGGCCTGGGAGAATTCACATCCTATCTGCGGGATCTGTCGTTATATGGTGTGCCATGGATAAACACCTGTTGTAGCGTCTGTGTCTGGGGTTTGTTATGAGCGTTTACCCTACCACACTACACTGCTTTTATGGCTTTTGCTTGTTCCCCCCATGTATTCTTTTTCGTGGTTCTTGCACAGGTGATTAAAAAAGTTGTAGTGTTGGAGTCTGTTATTGGCACCGGGAGCCGGCAAACTTTACAAACAATTGTTTTCTGGTCCACGTCAGCCTTCCTATATCCAAACCACAACTATGCAACGGACAATGTCCTTCTTTTAGGCACAAGCTCCTCCGTTTGGGTTGGCAGGAAATCCTGTTGAAAATTACCCTAGTCTGAACCTCATCAGCTAACATCTTCCTCTATGTTTGTTTATGCGTGTCTAGCATGCATGGGCATGCCGTAAAGTGCACCATGACATAAAATACTGCTGTAAAATGTTTAATCGTGGTATAAACTAGGGCTGCACAATATATCGCTATCGCAATATCAGCATGCACAATATGCCTATCGCAAAGAACAGATAAATATCGCAATGATTGGTCAGCTCAAATGTTTGCTACACAAAATGCACTCTGTCAATCAAACTGTCAGTCAATCATGAAATGTTTTTTTAACAAATCAAATACAGCTCTTTATCCATTTGGCCAATTGGGTGGGTTCTCATTGGTTAGATGACCGTCCCCGAGGCGGACGGCACTTAATTTAGATGGTTAGCAAACACCTGAGTTAGCTTGGTTCTGCTCTTTCTGCTGATCCTGCTTTTCCTGGGATTCACTGATCCTTTCTTGTTCATTTTCTTTTTCCCTTTCCTCACATCTTTTGCTTTTTTCATTTTTAGGAATTTTTTCCTTTCTTTGTTTTTGATTATTTTTGTTCCTTAAGTTTTTATTGAACACAAGTAATATCGTCATTGCAATAGTAATCACTGTTATTGAATATCGCAGGTTTTTCTAAAATCGTGCAGCCTTATTATAAAGGCTAGCGCTTCATATAAAATAGACATTTTCTATCATACAGACGAAATATTTAGTCATATTGCCTAGCCCTACCCTGATGTATTTTAATGTTACTCTTTGACGCCAAACACAGTGAAATGGATGTTGGGGAGTACTCACGGATTTCTTGAGAAGGTACAAAACACACCTGGACACAGTCTTTGCTGCCAGGTGCGACACCAGTTGGTCCTCAGCATGGAGCTGCTGTACCTGTGGTACACAAATGTGGATTTTAGCTTCACTGCTATTCTTAGTGGAGACGGTCAAATGAAGCCTCATGATCCAACAAGGGTTTCCAGTTGCCAAAAGGTTCATATTTGAAGCTTCATTTCTTCAGCCTTATATAGTTTATCACTGGCGTAGAGTTGATCTTGACATTGGTGGGGACTTATAAATCTACCCCTGCCCCCAACTCACCCCACCCTGTTTGTGTTGTTTTCTCTTTGATCCATGATAAAACAATAAAATACTGATTTCCCACATTTACTATTATTTTTTTGTGTATTATTGCTTTTGTGTGTAGGGTTGCAGGAATTACCAGATCTGACTATTAACCCCGGTTAACCCCCTGTAAAGACATCTCCAAACCCGCCTATAATAAAAAGACAATAGCGCGACCCCACACAGCAAAAACAAAAGTGAAACTGCACAGGCAGCAGAAGCAGATCCAGAGACAACAACCATCGGAACTGCTCTATTTATGCCTAGGAAGTGGTTGAAGTCACCGGTGTGGGAATACTTTAGATATACTGCCACACAGGAGACTTAAACCGCTTCCTAAGTGTAATGGAGCAATCCTTTTGCTTCATCTGATAAAATTAGGATTTTATAATGTGGGAGACATCATACCTAATCATTTAATTTGGAACCATTTTTGTTACCCTATTTAAAAGGAGCATTCCGGTACCCAAGTGAAAATTGTTAATTCAGTGCTTATGAGAAGAAAAAAAATCATGCAGTGTCATAATGAGAAAATAAACAATCTTTTGAATCCTGAAGTCGTGAAATGTTCATAGAATCAAAACATACCCTAAAATAAAGAATTAGAATGAGGACAACTGTGACGTTGGGAATGGCCAACTAGGTTATTTGACCACAGTAAAGCCAGAGTGATGTTATGGTAAGTTCACTGAATTTTCCCCATCCACCAGCAAACAAGAAAAGAGTTAGGGTTGGAAAAATGCGGTTAGCGCGGTTGAGTGACTCAAAAGTGAAGCAGCATCAAATTAAAGAGCTGGGGTGTTTCTGTGGTCTCCCTCAGAGATCCACAAGTGACCAGCATGACTACAGACTCGCATCGGAGCCGGGAAACGGGAACAGCCAGCCGCCTACTCTAGCAACTGTTCCCGGGCAGGAGACGGGAGAAGCCAGGCACCCGTTTCCTATGCAGCTCCACTAACATGTTTGACCAAGCAGTTCAGCCAGAAAAATAAAGTACTGAAATATAATTTTACTTACTGATAAAAAGAAGCAGGAACCGATCTGTTAGTGCAGTCAATACAAACACCTTCCCTTCTGTGTCCAAATAATTCCATGATTAACATCCAAACACAAACAAAGAGGACTCGGAGTCGAAATGGCCAAACATCTGTTAACTCATTAACTGCCAGCCATTTTCTGATCAGAAAGCCTCTGACTACCAGAGGTTTTGAGCCTTTTTACTGTTTTTTGAAGTGCTCTATGACCGTGTAAACACCAAAACTACCAAAAGAAAGAGTAGACCCAATTCTTACATCCAGGAAGAATCAGCGTGTTCCTAGCTTTTTCCGTTCTTTCACAATCCATTGCCAAAGTGGGAGCCGCAGAAGCTTTTCTAGTTAGCGGCTCGATTTTTTCACAGCAGCGCCCCAAAACGATCTTCTAAGTCATGATTTTCTGCTTCCTGATCCCGCAGGGTGAGGATCAGCTTTGGAGCCGTGATGTTTACTCTCACGGTGCGGGGGCTTATTCACAAGCCTGCCCCATTAAAAAATGCAATTGATGTCTTTAGTCATCAGTGGAAGCGAGCTGTTGGATTTTAAATGAAGACTTTTATCATCAAGGAACGATAAAAGTCGTCATTTGCATTTTTTTACTGTGTGGGCATCGGAACGAGCCCCCGCACCGTGAGAACAAACACCGATCTAAAGCCGATCTTCATCCGCGTACGCCACACGTCACGTGATCAGAAAGCAGAACATCCATGTGTTAAGAGATTGTTTTGGGCCGCTGCTGTAAAAAAAAGTGAGGCGCAAACCAGAAAAGCTTCTGCCAATCAAAATTCAACAACGGATTATGAAAGAACGGATAATGCTCGAAACATGCGGATTCATCCTGATGTAAGAGGTGAGTCCCCGCTTTGTTTTGGTTGTTTCGGCGTCGACATCATCCTAGCGCGTAACATTCTGTGACTCTTAAAAAAACCTGTAAAAACGGTGAAAAACGCTGGCAGCGAAGGCCGTTAGCGATCAGGAAACAGCCGGCAGCGAATGAGTTAAGGCGAGGCCAAGGCCCAGGCTGAGGCCTTTCCCCAGCTAGCTCTGAAGTCACGTGGCTGATGCTCATTAATTATTCCGAATTTTAAGAATTTAATTCCACTTAAACAGAAGAGTTACAGAAAAATTCACCCCCCTAAGAGTTGTCATGGGTAGATCTACTAAACCTAACATGTTTTTGAACCAGGCTGTAAACATGTTTATTTCCGCTGTGAAATTGGCTTTTTTAACATGGGAGTCAATGAGAATTTGCTCTCTTCTGCTGCCAGCCCCAAGTGGATGAGGATGGAACTGCAGTTTTAGCCACTTTTGCATGGCAGATGTTCTGCGTCAGACAAGGTTTGATTAGGCATAGTTTAAGTCTATTTTGGGGTCGTTTAGATTAGCTTTTGTTTTTCTGTAACTTTGGAGAGGTTCGTTTGCAAGGTAAACACCATTTAGGGCGGGGTTTTTTTTTGTCAAGATTCCTCTTTGTTTTTGTTGTTTTAAGAGATATTAAATAATAACAGATACTACAACTGAAAAAAGAACAGGAGCAGGCAGAAGCCCACACTTATTTAAAGAGGAAGTCAATTCAATTCAATTCAAAAATACTTTATTAATCCCAGAGGGAAATTATAGTCACCCACAAACCAACTTTTTTTTTTACTGATAAACTATATAAACGAGTCTCTGATCATGCTGTAGACATGTGTTGTCAATAGTTTTGCACTTTAGTGCATTTTAGTTAAAATTTAAATATTCTGCTTAAAACTGTCAGTGTTGTGCTGTTGTCAGGTGAAAACTCTGCATTACATTTGAATTTAACTCTGCCATCGCTATTGGCTAAGAGGTACCCTAGGACGTTAGCTGGTACCATATGATGTCACAGTGTTGTTGTGAGCCTGTGTGTGTGTGTGTGTGTGTGTGTGTGTGTGTGTGTATTTGTTAGCGGCTCCGCCCTCTCAGTCAGCTAGGCAACAGCATTTGTTGTATTTTTCAAACAGGAAATGGGAGTGGAGTAAGACTGGTAGGGGGTGACTTGTTCTTTAATCCCACGCCTTTTCTAACAATCACTTCAATCACTAAATGTAGCGAACAGCAAAATCATCTTTTACAAAACTATTTAATAGTTATTTAGCTTGTGATTAACTCGTTGAGCAAAGTCAGGAAGTTACAGAATCAGAGTTGCAGCGTGTCTTTATCTCCTCCCTGAAAAAAAACTATCAAAATTTCTATTAAAAATCTGAACTTTGTAACCTCAATTAGTTTTTAGTAGATATGCATTCATATAGTTTCAGAGATAACGTAAGAAAATGAAGTACAATCAAACTTTGTTGTTTTGACTTAAATGATTTTTATACCTTTTCTAAATACAATAGTGAACAACTCTGCTGTACCTCCTTTTCTGACGTTGGTTGTTTTGAACAGACCTCTCTTAATAGATAATTAGTTTCTTTGATTTCAAACAATTTCTGAAAACACCTTGGAAGGAGGTCATTCAGAGCTTTATACATTATCAAAAGTCATGGAATTTTATAGAGTGCATTAAATAAATATTTCATTAGTTGGATGGTAATAACCATTATGGCTTTCTTATGAAGAATATATATAGATTTGAAGTTTGTTTTATGGTTATTTCTGTAGATCTCCACACAGTAAGTAATGTAAGGAAGTATTTAGCTACAATACAAAGTAACTTATTTTTAAAGAAATATTTTACATTGCTTAATATCGATATAGTTTAGCTTTTTTAAGGTAACACTGTCATCTAGGAGCTAAATACATAAGTAGCAGTGAAGTTGTTTTTCAACAGCAGAGGGTGTTTTCCTCAACATTCACAGAGCGAGCGAACGCGTGGGAGTTAGTTCCTCCGATCAATGCCCTTGGTAAGGCATGATCTGTTAGTTTTATGCACAATAGGGCCTTTGTTCATAGATCTGGGTGTTCTCCATTCTGTTACCTACATAGGATCTGTCTGTTAGCTTGTCTGGGTTTTCTCTAATAACGAAGGACAAGCTGGCACATCAGCACTTTGGAGTGAATTATATGTTCATTTATGGCTGAAATCAATATTTTGGAGGAATAATTTAGTGGAATTTGTGTTGATTTGTTACCATTTGCTTTTTTCTTTTGGTGAGAATGACTGTTCTTTATTCTTTGTATTACAGTTTTACAAGAAGATACATGTGGAACATCAGTAAAAGTTATGAAGAGCACAACACGTCTCCAGAATGCTACGTGGGTTGGATTAACGTATTCAACTGAAGGCAGACGACGGGACTTTATGCAGGTCTGCAGAAGGACAACAAAAGAGGAAAGGCACAGAGAGAGAGCGGGGAGGTGGTGAAAACCCTGCTTCGTAAAGACTGGAGGCATTTGTTCATGGGTTAAAGCTTTTCAGGGCGACTCTAGCCGTTTTTACAGGACCGTAGCGTTTGCAAAACGGGATTTGCCGCGGCTCCCTGGGGAGGGGTTTGGCATTCCTAGTAGCAAAGCTGAAGCTAGAATTAACTGTCATCAGGCACTTCTCAAACCAAGATGTGATAAAGGGAGGTCACTGGGCAGCATGGATGTAATTTTCACTTTAGAAGTGGGGGGGACACGGGGGTGGGGGTATCTTTACAGTATGTTCTAATGGGAAACAGGCTTCAACACAAACGGTTGTTTTCTGCTTGGTCCTAGAGCTCAACCAGTGTCAATTTAATGTAAAGTAATATTGTTTTTGGATGGTAAAAAGTGCAGGGGTCAAAACTTCACTTTGGAAAAAGTGGGGGGGGACATGTCCCCCCTGTCCCCCCCCCAAAATTACGTCCATGCTGGGCGGCCCCCCCGCATGTGACGTACATGGTCGCGCATTCAGCGTCAGACGGAAGACACGTCAGACATGAAATTTCTTTTGCAGGACCTTTAGCTTTGCTGTGACCTGCTTTTTGTCCCGTTTGACGGCCCGCTCAGCCAGTGTTTTCACCACTCTTGTCGAACAGCTGGCTGTCTCTCACCGTCCCCGTAAAAAGGCGACTAATCTGTTCATCCGCTCGGTTCAGTTTATAGACATTTTTCGTTTGTATTTTGTTTTTTAAATTACATTTTAGGCAGAAATCAGCCAGAACGAGTTTGTATTGCCGGTCCCAGTTATTCCCGTGTGTGTGTGTGTGTGTGTGTGTGTGTGTGTGTGTGTGTGTGTGTGTAGCGAATTAAACTTGTCATTTGTTTTAAGGACAACGGAGCAAAGAAGCGTTTTACTAAGCTTAGAGGTGAAGAATGAAGCTGTTTACACATGACCACACAAGTTTCAATTCAGAGCCGCTGACTTCCGGTTTTAGCGGTCTTCAAGGACCCGGCCTTGCTAGACCGGCGAGGACCCGTATAAGCATCCTTCCAGTGGATTCGGACACACCCCATGTTTATCTGTGTTTATATCCCTTCCGGCTGGAACTCTGCGACCACCCTCTTTAGCGGGGGGGGGGGGGCTCCCACGGTCGCTCCAAAGGGGTTAGCGGGTCTGACACGCGTTTAGCCGTCAGAGGCGAGGGGCTCATGCAGCAATATCACTACAAGGCGCATCAGAATCCAGTTTTATCACCTTTCCCCTTTGCTCCTTGCCGCGTTTACGAGACCCACAAATATGGATTTATCGCTCTGTAATGACGCGATGATCTGTCTTATAAAAGAGGCTTGTGTGATCTTTCTCAGTCACTGTTCCCAGTTTCACGGTAAAAACCATGTAGATCCAAAGCAGACAGGTTCATCTTGCTGAAGCCTAAATAAGGTCCCAACAGACAAGGTGCTGGGGAGTTTTATCAAATACATGTACATCAAACCATTTGAAAGCGTTTTAAAAGGACAGCTGAATGATTGCTTATTCTTTTCAGAAAAAATGTCAGAACTCCAACATTAGATCTAACTTTTTCGGAGGTTATGGTTAGTCATCTCTTTTTGCCTCCTCCCTAAATATCTGCTAAATGAGATTTGTTTCTATTTGGCTTCAGAATTAAGGAGAAAAAACGAGAATGGATTTTCTTTCCCAATGGGATGTTGATATTAGTGGAAAATTAAGTCTAAATACACATAAACAAAAATCCCAAAATATTACTAGTACGTTTAGTGGCGATTCTAACCGACGTTTCACTGGCTGAGCATCTTTAATCTGCTCTTATTATAAAACTACAACTTGGACTAGCTCGTTTACAATAACTGAGCAGTCTAAAACACAGTTTGTGATTTGTGAAACATTTGTCTGATTTGTGAAAGTTAAAAAAAACAATTTCAGCATTGTATTCATTTATTTTAGGCCCATTTGTTTTGCATTTGGGAAACATAGGAACACCAGTACCCAGCATGTTTTTGTTGTTTCCCAGATCCAACACCTGTTCAGCAGCTCATCAAGCTCTGCAGCAAGAGCAGCGTTACCATTAGCCAGGGGTAGGCCATCGGCTTGGGCCTCAGAAGCTAAGTCAGATTTTAGGACGCTAAATCTTTGCTAAGTCCGCCACAGCTCTGCAGAGGCCTTTTAATCATCGGCTGATCTGCATCAGGTGTGTTGAAGCAGGAAAAACAGTCAACAGGGGTGGACATTAACTTCAAAACCAACCGGCCAGCCGGGCCGGTAACTCTGAATATCTACCGGCCCCGCCAAGAATCTACCGGCCCCGCTGGTCAGCTGCCAAAACGAGTCAAAATAACAACTGAACCGTTTTAAATGTAATAAACCTTTATTTTGTACACATTCACAAACATAATAACGTATTCAAGTTTGAATTTGTTTGTTCCCTCAACAAAACTCAATTTTGTCGTCGCATACTTCCGGCATACAACGCAGTACATCACCAACTCCGCTTTGCTGTATTCGAGCCATTGGCTGTGTTCGAGATAAGCCAGTTCTGCATAGATTAGACCAGCGGTGATCGGCGAGCAGTGCATGCCGGTTAGATTTGTGACCGAATTGACGCCGACTTGCTCTGACGTCATGCATACGTAGGCAACGATAACCTCGTGAGATCAAGGCGGCCGCAGATTTTGGAGCAAGGCGCTGCAGTTGCTCTCCCTCAGCTGCAAAACCTAGGGGATGGCGGGAAACGCCTGGCGCTCACCTGATCTAAGATCTGATTGGTTCATATTTTGATCCAAACATCCGGTGGTAGAACATAAAATGTTAGTTGGTCACATGTTTTCTGTAAATCACGTTATGTTGATGATGACAACAATATAGGCCATAAAGAGAAATGTGTTTTGTGTTCTTTTGTCACGTTTCCTATGAGCACACTGAAGCTACAGCTGATAACCTTTACTTATTATTACAGTCATGTTTTCATATACAATATATGATATCCACAAGCACGTGAGGATGTGCTTCAGCTGCTAAAAGGCACCAGAATTAAAATTGAAAATTGAACAAGTGTGAACGCTAACGCGATATCTTCAGCCATCGTCACCCCCGAGCTACACATGTAGGGAAATCTGTCCGACTTAAACGCCGGCTTTCAGCCACTCCCCCTGCTGCTTCCGTCTGCTCTAGTCTGTTTTCCAGGCGAGGCGCAGCTCAACTCGAACACGGCCATTCTCTGCGCCTTTCGTCTTCTTTAAACCGCCAAGAATCATTCCACCTACGCACACGCTTTTCCGCTTCATACCGTTTCGAACTGTCTCGCTTCTCCTCACCAGTTTTAAAGCGTTTTGCCGGAGATTTCATCAAGAAATCCCATCCCTGTGGCGGCGCCATCTCCCTGCGTACTTGTGTGTTTCTAGCGTGGTTCCACTTCGTTTTTAATAGTGAACTTAAAGTTCACGTGACTATAACTAGAGTCGTGCAGTACGTGGCTAGAGGCGCACAGGTTCACGCGCGCGAAACAAAAACGGCGGCTTCCTACAGAGCCATGATGTAGGTGAAAGCCGGTGTGTAAATGACAAACAAGGCTTGGGCGCAGGGTCTGAAATTAACACTCGCCACTCGCCAAATGCGAGTAAATTGCTCCATTTGGCGAGTAAATTTTTGAGCTCTACCTGCCACCTGGCGAGTAAATGTTTGCACCAAATTAGTTATGTTTATCAGTCATCTTCCATGGATTTCTGATACTCCTCCTGCCTGCATGCAACTTACACAAACGTACGCGAAACGTGAGTGCCGCATCCAACGTCATTTCCACCTGTCCCATTCAATCAGTTTATCAAGTTAGTAGTTAGCTTCGTGTTAAAACTAGCGATGAAATGTGGCGGTTTTTAACTGGAGTCAGCCAGCCTTCCAAAAGAAAACTTGTCGAACTGGAAGAAAAACCACCAGGACCAGTGGCAACCAGAAGATTTTGTGAAAAGTGGCGAACTGGAGATGGCGGAGTCGTAAGACAGGCTACATTATGATGGCCACGTAGCGTTGCTGCCTTTCACAGACACTTTTTCTGCTCGTGCTGCAAACAGGATAGCCGTCTTCTATCAGCTGGCCCTCGGCATTCTTCAAATATCCAAAAAATGCCCGTACTTCCGACTTTGTCTTCTTTGAGGGATAATAAATGTCCAGAGTGCTGCCGTCTCCTCCTGCCATTATTTCAGCTTTAGCTTAAAGAAAGTTTTGGTCGTAAACAACAAAGTGCGCATGTGCCATCGGCAACTTCAGCAGATGATACGGTGGCTGGTAAGGGTCACCGCGCCTACACCGCAGCCACGGTAATCCACCGAGATAATATATTTTTTTTAAAACATGACGGTTATTATTATTGTCAAATTTTTTTACCGGGGTTTACCGCTACACCGGTTACCGTGACAACCCTAGCCCTGACACACTTTCAGATATTCTCATGGTGCAGCTGTGTTCTCCAGAGATCAAGGACTATGACCCAAATGAGGCTGTAATGCTTTGGCACAAAGACGGTGTCAGAAGCAGGAGGCCAGACTTCATGGACAGAGAAAACAAGGAGTCTGACTAGATTTCAATGAAAGAGTTCATAAAAACATCTCTAAAAATAAATAAATAAATAGTAAAAATGACAAAAGAGTTGTTTTTCTTATTAATTGATGTTTTAATTATTTTGTCACTCTGTTTGGAATCAACATGCTTTAGGTAGATCTAAATCATTTAGAATTTTGGCCGGTAAAAAATATGCTTGGCCGGTATATTTTCATCATCTACCAGCCATCTTGGCCGGTGAGTAAAAAATTTAATTTCGGATCCTGCTTGGGCGCCACCCGGGCGGTAAGTCGTCAAGTATTTACCGCCCGACGAGAAAATGTAGCGCCATTTGCGCTGGGGCGCTTTAAAGGTCCACCCCTGCCTTTGGGAAAGGGAGTTGGGCATCACTGACCTTTGAGCCTGGACTAGATTATTGCAATAGCGGAAACTGTAAGGCATTATTTGTGAAACTCAATTAAATCTGACAGTCCTGTTTTTTTTTCATTTGCGTAAAAGAGTGTTTTGTTTTTATTTCATTAATCTGACAATAAAATTGTGTTCAAATGTACAAAACTGAAGCTAATCTTGCCTGAACACGCAGCTCTCTGGATGCTCTGCCCCCCTAAACGTCTGACGCTAGAATCGCCCCTGGTTGTGGTCTTTGGTACATACCAGCTGTGACATGAGGTCCGTTTCTTCAAGCAGCGCCTTCAGGATCTCCTCCCAGCCTGCTGAAACGTCTGCAGGCAGCTTGTGAAGCAGCACACCAGAGGTGATCTTCTCCAGAAGGGTCATGCTGGAGCAGCTTATCTCCCAGGAGGCTTTGCCATGCTCTCGTCCACACACGCCGCTCATGATCACTTTCACAACATCTCCTCCCATCAGCCTGGGACATGTTCCTCTGAGAAAACCTCGGTAGACGTGGCTCAGACTCTGGAACAGCTGCTCTGCTCCGCCACTTGCTGACATGTCCATTCTGGCTTCCTCTGACGAGATCTTCTTCGTTGGTGTTTAACAGCAGCTTGGGCCGCGCATTTCGGAATCGCAGCATGTTCAAGGAAGGTTCCGCCTTTCTCCCCTCTGATTGGCTGGAACGGCTCTCCTGCAATTGGCTACTTCATATAAGAGGAAGCGTCTGGCCTCGCCGCTGAAGGTGACGTCACCGCGTACGCAGTCTGCTTTTTTATTTATTTATTTATTTATTTTTATTGACAAAGCACATAATACAATTACAAAAAAATAACAAGCACAATGTCAGGGGGTTTCAATGGGAAAACAAAACAGTCTAACAAAGAATCACATGATATTGAACAGGGAACATACGTTTATGGTTTTGACAGCTTTCAAATTTTGAGAATGTTTTATGGTTTTTATATATTGTCCGGTTTCATTTAAAAAGCACTGAAAGGATCGTTTTGCATTAGAAAATTTCGACTTATGTATATGAAATTTAGCTAATAATATCAATAAATTAATCAAATAAAATTCATTTGCCCTGTGCTTGCTTGGGGTACGGAAAAAAAAAACAAATATTTCCTCATAACAAAGAGAGAACTCAGAAAAGATTAATGAAACAACAAAAACCCCAAATTCTTGCCAGAACAGATTTGTGTATGAGCATGACCAAAATAAATGAGAAATATCTTCCTCCACACAGTTACAAAATGTACAGTTAACATCAATGTCTTTTTATAACGTATAAGAAAAGATCTGGTTGGGTAAAAACGATGAATAATTTTAAAAGATATTTCCTTCACTTTGTTATTTAATAGAATTTTTGACTGTAAGGTCCAAATCTTCTCCCATTCCAGGTCCTGGTATAAGTTATTCCAGTAGGCGACAGCCGTTGGGACACAAGTTCTGTCTTTGTGAAACAGAGTTCGTATTTCACGGTTGTTTTTCCTCTTTATAGCGGGGAAACACACCTGACCAACATAAGTAACAGTAGGATCCAGCGGTAAGGGGGTCAAATCATTAACAACATGATCTCTAAACAACATTAAGACCCCAGCAGGGATAGCATCAAACACTTTGGTGGAACAAGAAGACCATATGTATTCATAAATTCTGAGTAAGAGAGTAACCCTCCAACAGGATTTATAAGTTGTGCAACACTATGAATCCCATTATCAAACCAGTTACTTAAAAACACAGACTTATGTTTGTATAAAATGTCTCTATTGTTCCAAATATAGTATCTATGTGGAGAAAAGTTGTGTTTATAGATCAATGACCAGGAAAGAAGCATTTGTTTATGAAAGTTGGATAGTTTTAAAGGGATTTTATCGATATTGCAATTACAAAGCAAAAGGAAGTTAAGACCACCTATATTTGAAAAAATATAATTGGGAATAAAGTTCCAAATTGAGGTTGGGTTCCTGAAAATTGTTTAATCCAGTTCATTTTAAACACATTATTTAATGAGGAGAAATCCAGAAAGTTTACTCCACCATGTTGGTGTGAGTTGGATAAAACTGATCTTTTAATGTAATGAATTCTATTCTTCCATATGAAGTTATAAAGAAGTCTGTCAATGTCTGCCAGGGTTTCTTTATTTACATCAAGAGACAAAGCAGCATAAGTTAGACGGGATAAGCCCTCTGCTTTTGTCAGTAAAACTCTCCCTTTAATGGATAAATCCCGCTGCAGCCAAGCATTTAGCTCACGTTGTGTTTTGTCCAAAATTGGAGTGAAATTAAGGGAGCACCTGGTGGATTGATTTTTATTAATGATGATACCAAGGTAATTGACAGACTCTTTCACTGGGATGCCAGCGATAGATAGACTGCTACAATTTCTAAGGGCAAGCAGTTCACATTTGCCAATGTTTAGGTGGAGTCCTGAAGCTAAAGAAAAGGTATTAATTGTGTTAATAGCCATTTGCACCTGTGAAGCATTTTTTAGAAAGAGAGTGGTATCATCAGCAAGTTGACTAATGAATATTTCTTTATCCGCAATTGTTATACCTTTCAGAGGACTGCGTTTAATATAACCAGAAAGGAGTTGGGCACAGATGAGAAATAAGTATGGGGAGATGGGGCAGCCTTGCCTGATACCGCAGTTCAAGTTAAACCTAGGTGACGTACCTGTTTGTAGTTTGATGGAACAATTTGCATTTTTGTACATTGTTTTAATTGCATTCTGAAAATAAGAACCAAAGCCAAATTTGTCCAAAGCCTGAAAAATAAAACCATGTTCATTCGTATCAAACGCTTTGCAAAAATCTACGAATATGATAAAGCTATCATCCTCACACAAATCTGCATGATCAATTAGGTCAAGGACAAGTCTAATGTTGTTGGATATGTGTCTGTTGGCCATAAAGCCAGACTGAGTTTCATCAATAATATCATTCAAAACAGCTTTCAGTCTTTCGGCAAAAATCTGGGCTAGGATCTTATAATCATTATTAAGGAGGCAAATTGGCCTCCAATTATCAATATAAGTGGGATCTTTCTTTGGCTTTGGGATTGGGGACAGACCTTGTGATAAAGTGGGGGGAAGAGATTGATTTATAAGACTTTCAATGTATACATTAAGAAGAAATGGAGCCAGTTGATCCGCAAAAGTAATGTAAAATTCAGAGGTTAAGCCATCGGTTCCTGGGGATTTATTAAGTTTAAGACGTCGAATAGCAGGCAGCACTTCACTAATAGATATCGGCCTTTCACAGAAACTCATCTGATCTTCTTTAACTGTACGCACATCAGGGATTTGATCCATAAAGTTCAGAGCAGCACTCTCATCAAACTCTGATTTGTATAAATCTTTAGAAAAATTGGAGCAATAGGTGGAGGCTTTTCGGGGGTCATCAGTTATAATACCATCAATATTAAGTGTCCGAACAGAAATGAATTTAGAGCGAGATTTCTCTAATTTAAAAAAATAGGATGAGTGTTGTTCACCTTCTTCTAGCCATCTTCTCCTTGATCTCACAAAGGCTCCCTCTGCTTTCAGTTTATAAATATCATTTAACTTACTCTGTTGCAAAGCTAATTCAGTTTTATCTTCTTCAGATAGGTTACGCAGTCTGCTTGCTGTTCTGAAGCATAGACTGGAAGGTGATATTCAACAAACTGAGTGTTGTCCAGCTGGACATTTGATGTGTCAAGCCATACAATTTAACCATTATAATAAATAATATTCACGGTTATAACAACCTTTTTCAGTCAGCGGAGAACAGTTTAATAAGCTGGTTTAATAAGTGTAGCATTATGAAATGCCCGCTCCAATTTTATTGGTCTAGAGCAGTATGCCCTCCGTACGTAGGAGGGCGCTGCTGCTATAAATGGGGAGCTCTTCCGGTAAGGAAGTAGGTTCACAAGCATCTGGCTGCAGACATCAGCTGGCGTCTTCAATAATACCTAGCTGCAGACGCAGCCCCGACAAACCACGCCCCCGACAAAACACCTTTGGTTTGTCGGAGCTGTGTCTGCAGCTAGACCTTACTCGGCGTCTTTGCCGTGACAGGAAATGATGTATCCGGAAAAACAAGACATCGGGTCATTACCTTCGCCGGAAGTCATTACCTTTGCCGGAAGTGGTTTGGATTTGTCGAGAAAAACCATACCGTGACATTTTTCTCTTCGATATGTACTTTTTTTTTCTTTTAGAACTTTTATTGAACATTTGCAAAACGAACAAAAGCGACAACATTTCAAAATTTGTTAGCAGAATGACATTACAGAGTAGCTCCGAAGTCAGTGTTCATCTCAACTTGCATTTTGTAGATACATTTCAACTTGGTTAGTAAGAAGACAATAAAAAAATATTTAAAAAAAATGAAATAATAATAAAAATAAATAAATAAATCAAAACAAAAATAGAACATGAAAGGATACAAGTAAGACAGCATGAAAACACAAATTACATGTGTATATAAATGAAAATTTTACAAGGTGTCACGCCCCGTTCCTGTCTTCTCTTAGGTTTTAGTCGGTGTCTCCGTTAATTGCTCCCACCTGCCTCTTGTTTCCCAATCACCATAGCTCCCTCTCCTCGTGTATTTAAACCCCTTCTGTTCTGTGTTCCATGTTGTGTCATTGTTTCAGTGTTCCAGCGTGTGTTTCTAATAAATCGATGTTAGAAGTCCTCACCTGTCTGCCTGTTTTCCTCCCCGCGTGTGGATCCTTGCCTCACCTCAGCTCACCTCGCCACACGCGTGTGACAGAATGACACGACCCTCTGAAGGGTCCAGCGGGGAGATCCTCCCATGGAAGTATCTCTTCCAGTTCCTCTCCGCCGACTATCGACCGGCTTCTCCTTCCCCAGCTCCAGCTCTGCCTCGCCGCAGACGGTGTCCCCGACCTTCTGCCTCGGCGTTCCTCGCTGCCCTTCCGGAACCAGACGGGAGTTTGGATGGGGAGATGCTCCGGGATCGCTCAAGGCTTCGAGGGCACGAGGCTGGCTTTCTGCTCCCCCGGGGTCGGTCCACGGCGTGGGGAGAGACGCCGGAATCCACCGCAGCCCTGCGCTTCAGGACGGAGCTGCGATCCCGCTGCTGGCCGTGCTCGGCGAGCCAGTTCGGACACGCCCCCGGTCAGACCAGCGGTCCCGTCTCCGGCCGAATCGGCGTCTGCAGGTGGAGGAGCTGCGCCCGCAGTTCAGCTGACGGACCTCGCCAACCTCCGAGCTGAGTTGGTCCAGATGCGCCAGACCCTCGTTCTCGAGAGGCTCGAGCTGGAGACTCTGCTTGCTGCTTCGGCTGGACGCAGCAGCGTGGACCTGCCCCCAGTCGGACCAGCTGTCCCGCCTCCGGTCCGATTGGCTCCTCCGTCATCGGCAGGAGGTGGAGCAACGCCCGCAACCCAGCCGACTGAGCTTGCCAGTCTCCGGGCTGAGCTGGTCCATATCCAACAGCTCTCCAGTTCTAATAAGCTCCTAATGGACGCTCTGCGCTCCCTGTCTCCAGCACCACCCGTTCACTCAATGCCTGTTCCAGCGGGGGTCCAGAGGCAGGCGGTACTAGCCCAGAAGCCGGCGGTTCGGAGACCGGCGGTCCAGAAGCCGGAGGACCAGAAGCTGATGAAAGT